ATTCCCCTCTCCCTCGGGGTGCAACCCACAACAGTCGGTTAGCACACAGAAGAGCCGCAACAAGTGACGTAAGAACATGGGGGTCCTTGATAATATCAGAAAGCACGAAAGCTGTGCATTTATGGTATATATTACCGGTGTATATAGTGTATATACTGTCTTCCAATTATGTCCTTTAATTTGTATTATAAAGTCAGTGGAGGGCGAAACGTCTACAATAAAGATACCCAGATGTTGCATATGTGTCTAATTCTTCACGAAAGCTCTTGGAAGTTCACTATTTTTTTACAGTGATTGTTCTGCATAAGAACATAGGAATGGAAGAGCACTGCAGCAGGCCTACTGGCCCATATTAGGCAGGTCTTCCTCAAAACCAACCATTCCCACCCACCCACTTGTCGAACCTTTACCTTAAGCTTCCCAAACATTTCCTTCAATGAGACACTTGTGGCAGTGGTTTCTTCAGTCCAGTACAGAGAAGAACGGTGGAAGAAGAGGATTGATGTAGTCAGTCATCTCAGTCTCTAGTTGATATCCATCAATCTTGAAAATAAATGGATATAAACTAGAGGATGAGGGACTGATTACCTCTAACTCGCCCTCTTCTTCCACCGTTCTTCTTTACATTGGACTAAAGAAGCCACTGATTGGCGAAACTTTTCCTCAGTAAAGATGTAGATAAACCTTTCGCCACACAGTGACTTCATCAGTCTTAAACAAACAAGACTGATTATATCGACTCCAGGTTGAGGGACTGATTAACTCAAACTCCTTCTGATCTTCACCATTCTTCCTTGTATAGGACTGATGAAGCCACTGTGTGACGAGACGTTACCACAGTAAAGATAAGTGTTGCACATGTGTCTCATTCTTCAACTTGTCGGTTTTTTAAAACCTTTTACATCGTATCACTGTGAGAAACACAGGTGCGGATCTGAGGGTAATGAAGGTATATGACACCGTCACAATGTAAACAATGGGATATTACATTGGAAAGACTTTGGTCCTGTGTAAATAACTAAGTGCAAAAAAAGAGTTATGACTGAAAAGAAGCTGGATGTTCTGGCTCTAACAGAAACAAAGATACCGTCTCGCAATATCTCATTCTGAATGACAAAAGTTATTAAAACAGACTTAATCTTTTACCATTGTATATACACCTACAAATATATATATACTCCTACCGATATAAATACTCTTACCAATGTACATACTCCTACTAGTATATATACTCCTACAAATGTGTATACTCCTACTAGTGTATATACTCCTACCAGTGCATATGCTCCTACCAATGTATATACCCCTACCAATGTATATACTCGGTAAGAGTATATGCACCGGGAGATGTATGCCTCTCGGTGTATATACACTGAAAGGTTGCTTTAATTTCCATTTTAAATATTAAAACTTTTCTTGTTTGGTAGTCAAAAGGTTACTTAAACCTTTCTAAGCTCAGTGTAGTCGCATGGAATTAGACTTCATTAACCAACAAATCAGGCAGGTTTGTACACACACACACACACACACACACACACACACACACACACACACACACACACACACACACACACACACACACACACACACACACACACACACACATGCTGTGATCCGGGTGAAAATCGTGACAATTAGAGAAGTCAGTGGAGGGAGCAGCGTTTGGCCTTGTTGATGCCAGGATGCTGAGTCATGGCCCAGACACCTAACTCTCACACACCACTAGACCACTATTATAATGGACCACCACAACACCGGACACATGTGACACTGGAAACCCCACTGCTGGACAATCGCACCACTTGACCACCATCACACTGGATCACCATCACACTGGACCACCATCACACTGGACCACCATCACACTGGGCTACCATCACACTGGACCACCATCACACTGGACCACCATCACAGTGGACTACCATCACACTGGACCACCATCACAGTGGACTACCATCACACTGGACCACCATCACACTGGACCACCATCACAGTGGACTACCGTCACACTGGACCACCACCACACTGGGCCACCATCACACTGGGATACCATCACACTGGACCACCACAATGGACCATCACACACCATACATCACGCATATATATACATGGTTCAGAGAACCAGGCTGAGGAACTGACTACCACAAACTCTTCCTGATCTTCAAACATTCTTCTCTGTGCTGGACTGAGGAAGACACTAGAAGGCAAAACGTTACCAAAATAAAGATACTCACTGTTGTACATGTGTATAATTCATCAGTTTACATCATGTCTGTAGATGTTAGGTTAGGTTGAAGTAGTTGTACTAGTTGTAACATATATAACATTTTTAAGACAATTCGTGCCGTAACTACCATAGAGAAGCAGAGAGAGAGAGAGAGAGAGAGAGAGAGAGAGAGAGAGAGAGAGAGAGAGAGAGAGAGAGAGAGAGAGAGAGAGAGAGAGAGAGAGAGAGAGAGAGAGAGAGAGACAGCACGGCGTAGGGGAATAGGTCACCTATACAGACAAAAAAAAAAGTAACGAGAAACCCCAAATAAAATACATTATTGACGAGATAAATCAACAGTAAACAGAAACACGTGTCGAGATGAAATGTAAACACAAGCACCGTTACCATGACAACGCGGGATGCTGCCTCAACAGCTGGTCAGTGTCAACAAAAGCAGATCTCCTTCACCACCTCTTGAGGAACTATTAAGATTTTCTCGTATCATAACATCTTGCTGCTGAATAATGTATTTTGCTTCTCCAGGATGTTTACTTATATATTTTTTTGTGTTTTTTGTTTCAGTTTGGTGAGATTGACTCATGAAATCGTAATGACACGATTGCAAACAAACCATGCCAAGGGCGGGAATAGAACTCTCAGATCGCGGGTTCAATCCCGTGGTATGGTTTGATGAGGTTAAAATAGAATATTGCTACTTCCGTGAGGTTTAACTACAGTTTTTTCCAGGATAAATTTCCTATCAGTGCAGTTGCTTGCATTAAACCTCCGTAAATCGGCTTAGAAAACGAGAAATTGCACTTTCATCGATGTCTCTCGCACCTCCTCACGCACCGGCAAACAAGCATCCAATGAGACGCCACACAACACACTCTCCCACGCACCCCAGCCATACATCCCACAAGAGGGTCCCCACATATCCGCCACATAACTAGCTTCCCGTTAGCGCGAATCCTCAGCGAGCCGAATGGTATTTCCCGTCAGATAGTGCTGGACGCACGCATTAATCTCATTATCAGTTTGGGTTGCATATTTATATCCGGCAGCGCACTCAACTCACACACTGAGGTCCGTGGGTCAATTCCCGGTACGGGTGGAAACATTAGGACGTGTTTCTTTAAGACACCTGCTGTCCTTGTTCACCTAGCAGTAAAATAGGTACCTGGGTGTTAGTGGTCTGGTGTGGGTCGCATCCTGTGAACAAAACTGACCTAATTTGCGTGAAATGCTCTGCATAACAAGGAGCTTTCTATATAGTAGTATGTCATTGATGTCAGCTATGGTCTGTATAAGTTGTATCATGTATTTGTAGGAATAAAAAATATTTATTTATTTATTTAGGCTTCTGGCGGTTTCTCCTACATGGTATTTCGTCGACACAAGAACCGTCTTCTGTGTTATGGTTGTTTTCGTTTCATCTAATGAAGTTATGGGTGGTAAGAGGTTATGGCACCAACTTGACGAATGAGACAGGCGTAAAGACGCTTCGCTAACCTTTATCAGTCCATCACCACTGATGAACTTAACATCCAGGGACTGATCACCTCAAACTAATCCTTCACGTCTTCCACCGTCTCCAACCGATTAATCAAAGCAGATGGATTGGACACCTAATATTAAGCTTGAGAGATTGATCTCCTCAAACGAATCCCTCACGTCTTATAACTACACTGAAGTACAGAAGGTTCCCTCATATAACCCTGAACAAGTAAATCGAGTGTATACCTGGAGGGTGCTCCGGGGGTCAACGCCCCCGCAGCCCGACCATGACCAGGCCTCGGTAGCAAGCAGAAAGAGTGGCGAACATTAGCGTTCAAATATCAGTCAATGCCCACATTATTTCCTCTGTGTAATCTGCAAGAGGATAAGTAGTAGGGATAAAAATGAATTTGGGGAATATAAAATGAAAGTAGGATTAGGATAATGAGACAGTGGACCACCTTCTCCGGTAATTATTCCCTGTATTGGATTAATAAATCCACTGATGGGCGAAACGCCTACAATGTACAGATTTACTTATATGTGCAGTTTACTTATATGTACTAAAATACCTATGTAACCGACTTAATATGAATAAAAATGAACGCAGAGTAAGAGGGTTAAAGAACAAAGCCAAAGCCACTGACATTTTCAGTAATACGGACGATCCAGCTTGACCAGATTAATGTCTCTATGACTCGGCTTCGAAAAGTAGAGTCAAATGCACAATAATGCGATTCTTTGCCGACAAAATCATAAATAAAGGATGGCATTGTAGTGCATTTGTGTTAAAATTTTCCATCGGATCGGTATTTTGTACCACTTATTTCTATACGCAGGTGTTGCACATGTTTATTTATCTCCTTTTCAGTTTGTTGTACCATTATTATAACAACTTTATTTTCGACTTGATTTAAAACCTTCGTATTTTTTCATTCTACTTTTCCCTCTGCTTTGGGTATTTTTCAGTAATAACAAGAAAACAATAAATAAAACACAAAAGAAGTGAGCATCTACAAAATTCCATGTGGAGGACGCGATGTGATTTACGTGGGAGAAACCGCAACTCCAAATTGCTAATAAAACAGCACATGAGTTCAGCAGAGGAATTCACACCATCAAATGAAATTTTCCGATTGAAGACTCGTAATCAGAAAAGGAAAAAGTGCAAAAGGAAATAACGTGAAACTTGTGGCCTATCAAAATCCGCCTGACATGAGGCGAGTAGGCTGAAATTCATTATTATTATAATCAAGGGGGAAGCGGTAAATCCGTAGGATTATACAGCGCCTATATGAGGGATGATATGGAAGGTATTCAGGTTTAATTCAGGGAACTAGAGCACAGATCCAATTCCCTAGATCAAGAGCCCCTCACCAGCATCAAAGAACCTTCCTTGAGGGCCTTGAGGGCCTTGAGGGCCTTGAGGGCCTTGAGGGCCTTGAGGGGAGGCTGAAATTCAGTGCTTCCCAAATATTTGATTATTTTCTTTGGTTATCACCTGTCTATGTTCTTTTTTTCTGCCAATAAATTGTCATACAGTAGTATGATCTATCATACATGATAGATTATGCCAAGTAGTATGTATGAAGTGTGAGTGTTATAGGTAATACTAAGTATGATGTATCATAAGTTGTCTGTATGAGGTTATGAATCACTCTTTATTTTTACCATCTATGACTTACCAACATTCCGATACCATTCCCATATCATTTCCATACTATTCCCATACCATCCCTATACAATTCCCATACCATTCCCATACCAGTATCATGCCATTCCCATACTGTCCCCATACTATTCCCACACCATTACAATACCAATATTGTACCGACGGTGGGAATCGCTTATAGACAGTTACCTTATGAATTGACACAAAGTTGCTGATAAGATAGAGTGGAGATGGAATATTCTACCCAGTGGAGGGAGAGATAAAGTGGAGATGGAATATTCTACCCAGTGGAGGGAGAGATAAAGTGGAGATGGAATATTCTTCCTAGTGGAGGTTTAAAAGTGAAACTGGCTAAAGTCTCAACAGATGCTTGTGGCTTGGGAGTGAAGGGAATGGGCAGTGTAGTATGACAATGTAACCACCAACTTGTATTTACATCGGTTCAAACCTCATTACCTCACATTCCATAGGCGTGTATAACCCACTGGGGATTACCGTTTCTCCATGAATTTGATAATCCTATTGCTAGAGTGATAAATTCTCATTCTGAGTTGACATCAAGACGGATTTGTAAAGGTGATAACTAACTTGCATCGTGTTGTCTTCAGTTTCCATGTTTAGGTTAGGTTTGATTAGATTTGCTTAGATTCGGTTAGGTTAGGTTAAGTTAGGTTAGGTTAGATTAGGTTAGGTTAGGTTAGGTTAGGTTAACTTAGGTTAACTTAGGTTAGGATAGGTTAGGTTAGGTTAGGTTAGGTTAGGTTAGGTTAGGTTAGGTTAGGTTAGGTTAGGATAGGTATGGTTAGGTTAGGTTAGGTTAGGTTAGGTTAGGTTAGGTTAGGTTAGGTTAGGTGAGGATAGGTTAGGTTAGGTTAGGTTAGGTTAGGTTAGGTTAGGTTAGGTTAGGTTAGGTAAGGTTAGGTTAGGTTAGGTTAGATTAGGTTAGGTTAGGATAGGTTAGGTTAGGCTAGGTTAGATTAGGTAAAGCTGGGTTAGGCTAGGTTAGGTTAGATTAGGAAAAGTTAGATTAGATTAAGTTCGTCAGGAAACAGAACAGATGTTTCCTGACGCGGGTCTTAGATGATGACACGCAGGTGGAGTTTTTGGTCATCTGACCGAGGTCTTCCGCTGGCTTACCTCTCCATCCCTTTAAAGATTATGGTCACAGTTATAACCAGTTCGTATTTCCACGTTCAGATGTCGTTCGTAAGTAAGGTCAAGTTCCATCTAAGGTCAAATGTCTCTTGTACGTAGTGCAAATCACCTGGGTTCGGTATTGGTTGAAATTGGTACAGTTCTTCCTGTCCCGTAGCTCGGTTAGTAGGGCACTCAGGTCACACACTGAGGTCCGTGGTTCGATCCCCGGTATGGGTGGAAACATTGTTGTTGTTGTTAAAGATTCGCCGGTATTTTCCCGGCCCGGGCCCTTCCAAGTGGTGGCCCGGCACTGGCTCCCTGTCTAGGGAGTGTCTGAGACCTAAGTCTCCCATGGGAGGAGGCACAAGTACCCCCCTCATCTTGTAAGGTACAAACTCGGGCTCTGGCACCAACCATGCCCTAGAAGGGCAATGCATGGTGTCAATCGTGCTAGCGCTGTGCTCTCCTGTGTGGAGTGTCGTGTGTTGGTGTTCATTTTCATTCATGTTGATTCGCAGGTCCTTCTGGCCCAGGTCTTCTCCAGATGGTGACCCGGCAGTGGCCCCCCGGGTGGGGGGTGACGATAATCATCTTTCTTGGCCCTCCGGTTGGAGGATGTCGTCTTCTTCTATCTTGCGCTGACTTCCCCAAAGAGAAGCGCAGTCGGGCAGAGGCAGCAGTTACAGGGTTGATTGGAGCCACACCCCAGCTTTAGCGGACAGCAAAGTGCTGGGTGAATGGTCATGGATAGTCGTGCTAGACGAGGGTACCGTCTTCAAGGTCCCTATTCTGAAGCATCCTGAATTTCCTCTTTGAGGTGTACTTGACTTCCACAAGGTGTTGGGTGTTGGCAGTGAGTAGTCTGGTCATGTCTTCAGTGGTGTATGTAGCAGTTTGGTCGTAGGTATACTTGACTGTTCCGTCCTGGAGGTGATGATGGATTTCTGAAGACAGCATTGTGTTCTTATACTCCTTGGTTGTGTAGAAGTATACACCCTTCAGATATCGGACCCGTTGTGGTGCAGCAGTGTCAGTGACAGTGCACCGTGAGGTGCAATCCGCAGTGTCTTGTGTTTTTGCTTTCTTGGCTGGTGGCTGAACTGGTGAAGGCGAGATTTCCGACTGGTCAGTTGCTCTAGCAGTGGATGAAAGCGGTAGTGGACTCTCATTGGTGGGTTTTGCCGACGTCTCAGAGGTCTCTGATTGGTCCATCTCTGTGTCTAGTGGAGGGTTTTGACAGCGGTGGAGCAGCGGTGATGCTGGTAATATTTGCAGTAGATTTTAGGATCTCAGTGGAAGGTGGTGATGCAGGGAATGTGAGGCCAGGCATAAATTTTTTAGTTTGAAAAGTTCATTGATGGTGGTGTTGAAGGAACCAGGCTCAGCTGCATTCTGTACATGAGCATACATAATGCAACAAAGAATCTTGGTGGAGTCGGCAGTAGGTGCGGCAGGGAAGTGGTGGGAGCAGCTTGCGTGGCATGTAGTATCTTGGTAGTGTCTGCTTGAAGCTTGGCGATAGCAGAATATGTGGTTGCTTGTGGGTTGGGTTTCTTTTGTTGTTGTTGTTTCTTGAGTATGTCTCTTCTGGTAGGGCACCTGGCAGCAAGAGTATGGTGGTCATTTTTGCAGTTCAAGCATTTAGGTGGTGAAGCAGTAGTGCAATTCTTGAAGTCATGACCCTCACGGCCACAGGTGGAGCAGAACTTCTTGTCCTTGGTAGGACAATCATTTGTGGTGTGTAAGTATGAGTAACAATTATAGCACTGTGAGATATGTTGGAATTTCTCTGCTTCGATGAAGGCGGGTTGATGTGGAAGTAGTGAATAGCCAGGCCCTCAGCGAGAGCTCTGGCTGCCATGTTGACGTCACTGAAGGTGACCTTCAGCATGGATGAAGCATTGGGTATTTTAGTAATGAAGTCCACCTTGGCCCAAGGGTTCTTTGCTTCGATAGATGACTTGATTTCTTCAGTGGCCTGTACAGTGATAAGGTTGTCGAGTCGCTTGAGGAACACAGTTCTCCTGGCCCTCAGTGCTGGGGAAGTCAAGACAAGAAATCCCTGGTCTCGTAGAGTGGTAGTAGCAGTGGTGGTAAGTAGTTTCTCAGCCTCTGTGTCGTCTGTACAGACGACAACAAAGGCCTCTTTGAGCGATAAAATCGCATTACATTTGACTTGCAGCCTGCCACTAACGACAGCTGCAAATGCTAGTTTGGACGACTCATTGGTTGTGCCACTCGCTGGTTTGATCTTTACTCTGTTAGAGTAATGCATCGTGAGTGAACTGGGAGGCTCTCTGTCCGGTGGAAACATTGGGGGGGGGGGGGTTCTTAAGACACCTGCTACCCACGTTCACCTAGCAGTAAGTAGGTACCTGGGTGTTAGCCGACTGGTGTGGGTCGCATCTTGGGGACAAAACTAACCTAATTTCCCCAAAGAAGAAGACGAAGAAGAAAGAAGAAGAAAGAAGAAGAAATAGAAGAATACTTTTACCAAGACTAAAGAAAACAAATGAAACATGATAAAGAATAATAAATGTAAATTTCAACTTTTATTACGTAAGCCACTGAAGTCTTACTGGTGATAATCCCATGAGTTACCATGTTACTTTCAACTGTATTGAGAGAGTGAACAAGTTATTTATTGAGAGAGAGAGAGAGAGAGAGAGAGAGAGAGAGAGAGAGAGAGAGAGAGAGAGAGAGAGAGAGAGAGAGAGAGAGAGAGAGAGAGAGAGAGATTACCAGGGTAAGCTTTAAGAAGAGACTGGACAAATATATGATTGGGAGGGGCTGGGTTTGTCTGGTGACAAGGGGTAGGGGAGTTATTTCTTGAGTAGCTTTAGGTAGATGTCGTTTTGATAAGGACCTGCCTCGTATGGGCCAGTAGGCCTTCTGCAGTGTTCCTACATTCTTATGTTCTTATGTTCTTATAAATAGGGAACAGGATGAAGTTGGAGCCGTCTGTGGGTCCAGCTGCATCCTGTTCCCTATTTATATGTCTCATAACAATAAAAAGGCTTTCGAGTGAGCTGATGTAGGTGACAGTTCATAGTTTGTAAACAAAGGAAGGAAATCATAAGTCAACCTTGTAGAATTACTTACTAAAAAATAAATGAATATC